TTCGTCGCTTCGTTCTCGCTGAAGAAATTCATCAATCGCACCGAGAAGCCTTTCGGAACGAGCGGACACCCATCCCGAAACGGAAAATTTTATTACCTGGAAATTGCTCCGGAGTGGATTCGTATGCTTCCCCGGAGTGAGAGATACAATGAGCGTCGTAGGAGGGTCCGCTTAGGCTGGAGAAGCGCGTACAGATGACGTTCTCTGACAAGCCATCGCCAATCGGCGTCCCGTAGATTGGTCGCGTATTCCATCCTACGAGAGCTCCGATTGTGATTCAAATCACTCGGAAAGCGGACTGACTCCTCTTCGACGAGGCCATCGGACTGACTACTCTTCGACAAGGTGGAAAGAAGATTTCTCGACAATCCGGGCGGGATCTGCCCAAGTCAAATAAAATCTCACGCGGGCCTTCGACACAGTTAACGAAGGACGGAGAGTCTCTGTTCTTGAAAAAACTGTCGAACTAAGCGACCGACCGAGTGAGCGGTCGATCGATCGATTTCAATACAGCTAGGAACGACGTAATACGATAACTAAACAACACCTACGTGGGGAGTCTTCTCACGATTCTGGAAATCTCTGGTGACAATTCTGTTCTTACGCAACAGCGGTCTAGGGGCGAAGGTCGCATCGTTGGCAGCTCATGGCTGCCTGTTTCGTTCCACGTTGACTTACCTGAAAAAGTTAAATGTGGGTTAGCGAAAGCCAAGCGAAAATCAAAGTGAAATGATCGAAAGCGCGGATTCCTCACTGCGCACATCTACGTCGCCACTGTGAGCGAGCGCCTGTCGATGATGTTTGCGATTCGTTATCTATGGTCGCGACCTTGGGTATGATCGCGGAGAATTCACTTTCTGGATGGAAGGCGGCAGCCGCGGCATCGCTCTCGAGTACTCGTTCGGCTATCAAGGCTCGAGCGTCGAGCACGGATATCGCGAGAAATATTTGGCGGAAGAATGGCTAATACGGTCCCGCACAATAGTATATTCGCTCTCAGGCGGGCCACAGCGGAGTAGAAGCTCTCCTTCCTGTACTATTCCGTGGCTTTGAGTCTTCTCCCCGAAGCATGCATTCAACAGCAAAACTCAGGGATTCTTCTCCTACACCAGCGTAGGTACCGGACTCGTTCATTACCCGATCTGGAGACTACGTCCTTGTGATTTCCATCAGCGCATACAATGGCCGGTCTTGTTGGTGGAGCATTCGAACTGTATCATTGCAATCAACTCCGGATGATGAAGTCTCGGAACCTCGATGTCAATCGATCGTTTTTCCCTCAAGACGGCGAATCGGCCCGTTGAGCTCTACTGCCCACAATTTTAACGGCGATGTTTCGAAAAGGTTAGGGGCCGGTTGACAGTTCTGATCCGGCGACCAGAAAGCGATGTGCACGTGTGCCTAGAATGCTTGTTGCGGAGACGCATCGGGCTTCGACCTTATCGTGACAGCCGAGAGGAACTCCACGGTGAAGTGGGATGGGTCCGGGCCATAGCCACGGCCTGCCTTGCCCCCTTGGAGGTCGCCCCTCGAAAGGATATCCCGCAGACAACTCCCGTGAGAGACGACCGTGAGTCTCCGGGCATATGATTGTCTCTTCCGGTGACACACTATAACGCAGATGTGGCGAGATAAGTGTGATGCGATTCACGACCTATCATATCTCTTGTCGAGTCTGACGGAGAGTAGAGTCTCGCATCGATTCGGAATGTTTTGAGTTATTCGAAGTACAGTACAATAATTATTCTTGACGTCTCAAATACGGGCTTGGTGGTAACAGACAGTCTTAGCTGGGACGACGGCGTTCCTTTGAGCGATTCATTTTCGGGCAGCAAAGTCATAAGTCGACATCGATATCCCGGCCTCCGGGAGTTTCGATTCCATCGAGGTGTCATGTCGATTCTCGGATTTCGCAGGCGGTTCTTCGGATCTCTTTCGGATGACGGCTCCTCCGATTCGGACATCAGTTGTAAACTTGATCGCTCCCAGGACCGCTGCCTCGTGACTACTGCCCAAGCCGTTGTACTCGTCTCGTTCAACAGACCGCTTTGTCCGGCTTCGGAAATTCTGGGACTCAAGTCTTCAATCTGGATTGCAACTTTGTTGTGGACTGCGACTGATTTTGGCAATCGCGCCATACTTCCATGAATATTCGGTCCCGATGGCGTATGATCGTCAGACGATTCAATATGTCCTACGACAAGGCTGTGACAATTCTGTTTCGGATATCATGCAAACATTCTGATCCACGCGGTTTCATCCGCTTCAACACCTGGTCAGCGTTCTGAAAGTGTAATGAACGATTCGAGTGCGGAAACCATCAAGAGACTGAAGGTTCTGTCGCCAGTGAACTTCAAGAACCGAGGAGGATCGTTTGCGTGCGACTTCCAGACAACGGTACAATATGCATATAGTTTCGACTGAGTCACTCACTAGCAGCAACTCATTCCGAGTGATTTGCGGCCAGTGTGAATGGATTTCGACCTATATCGACCACTTACGGGAGTCCGCGTTCGAGGAACTCAGCCGGGTTTCTAAATTGGAACCGCTTGCTAATAAAAGCGAGAATTTCCACATACATAGACAAAGATAGTGATCCATAATTTTTGATTATACGCCTGCAATAGCTCTTGATGTTCCTGACATCGAGATGTCGTTCGAAGGGGCGGAAGCTGCCGTTTTATTTAACATAGGACACCCGAGTGAAACCACACCTCGAGCTGAGCGACATTGAAATTGCATCATTCACGTGGCCCGCGAGCTAACATTTGCCGTTAGATACGTTCTGACGACAAATCGCCTAAGGGTCGATGGAGCATCGCTACCAGCGTCGCTCACTCGCCAAAGTTGAGATATTTTCGAAGAGACCGTTTCATGGAAGAGCATCTCCTTCGGCACTCGCACGGCAGCACGTGAACGAACTTTCGGACCATTGTGACGATTGGTTTCATGATACACGATGAATTGATTTTCTTCTCAATCTACGCAGCACGGAATGGATGATTCGGTGATGTCCGGAAGTATTATGAGACGGAAAAATCCGGACACGGCAAACTGGTTGTTCCATGCCGTTGTGCCGACATGTAGTCCGTTGAAGCGTAAGCTGTCTTCGGCAATGAACGCTTTTTGAAATTTCGAATGATCCTGCCGGAAGCTCATCTCCTATTCGAATCCTAGTTCTCCTATATGTATCTCACTTGCATGAGTTAATCGTGGACAGGAGGACGAGAATGATGCACAATATTAATGACCGTCTTCTCACACGCTGTTTCCGACGATATCCGCAACGAGGCATGCCAGTAAAGCGAGCCGAAAACAGATTTTCGGGCTAGAGAACCGCCAAATTTCCTCCGTGCTGTTCTCAAGACTCTGAACCCTCGGGGAATTCTTTACTTCGGGACATCATTTGTCGAATCCGCCCCGGCGCCATGCGGGCTGGTTTCGCCTACAACTTCATTCCCCAGCTCTGACAGTCCTGGTGTTCAAGGATCGATGAAATCAGAAATCCGAGTGGGTACAAGTCTCAAGCTTAAGATAAGATGATCTACGATCATATTACGATCCATCGAGGCATGCCATTAGGGAATTTCAGCTCACGGAGGTCCGCTCCTCTTCGAATCGAGCTATATAATGCGCTGCTCGTCAATGCGAGATCATGAGAAGAATGTTTCAGGCTTTTTTGAGGATATACTCGGGATCGGCACGCCATGCCCCTTCCCGATCCAATCCTGTCAGCATGACGCCGAACCGCGGAGATAGCTTGAAGCATGCAGAGCTTTCTTGGGAATTTCTCATTACATTAGCTCCAAGATCGTTATCTGCCCTAATTCTCAAAGTCTGAGAACTCTTCGAAATTTTCGGGAAAGCTCCTATTTGAGAGATTGGCGTGGGAGCATGCCCATGCAGGAGTTTGGAAGATTCTCCACGTTTTCAAGGACCGAAAGAGGAAGGAGGGAAACGAGAAGATTTCTTCCACCCGTTCCCAAAGATTCAGTAAGTCCCTCGATGAAGATTGCAACATATCGGGAATCCGGGAGCCATAGACGTCTCAAATTAAAAAGACCACTGTCCGGCTAAGGTTTACGGTGGAGCTATCCCGTGAAACCTATCCGTGTGGTCCCATCGTTGAAGCACTACGAGGGACCACTGCGACGAACGGTGTCACCGAAGCTCCTCATGAATTTTATATCATTGGAGTGAGGATCATGGACTCTCAGAACAGCGACACTCCAATACTTTCCGTCGTAGGGGGAAAAATTATCGAATGGAAGCTTGGAGTGAAATGTGTCTCGTTTGTCGTTCAATGCCGTGATAGCAAGCATGTAGTAAATTGGCGATATTTCTCTGGATCTCAAGGTCGGGTGTCATTCACACTTTTCGTGATTTTCTGGTGTGCGAGAAATTACTTTAAGCGATAGTATTCTGCACTGCCGTTATTTCCTATGGCGAGTCGTGCCTTGTGTATCAAATAGTGCCGCATTCCCGGCGCCGATGACGGCGTCTGCGAGCGCTTACGGATTCATGTCGGGTTTCGACCCCGCCGCAAAGAGCATCGTACCGTAAGCGTTATATAACACCGAAACGGGTAAGAAATGACCCGAATCGAAGGTGTCCCGCAGCCACGGCGAAGAAAAGCGGGAATCTCCAGTAATCGACGTGGACAGGCAGCCGCAGAGAAATCATGTTTTCCAATCGTAGCCGGGGGAAGGATTAAAGTTCCCCAGAGTTTCTTCTCAACTGATGCGCGCAACTCTCCCGGTCAATGATGAGCATCAATTTTCTCATCCGATCCTGTACCGATCGCCCATCGATTCTGCAGGATCGCGTCGCATGAAGTTTCTCTGCCGAGAACGAGAATCACCATCTAATTGCTTTATGAAGAAGGAGCACAGAGAATTCACCGAATTTCATTTGCTGGATTGGGTCCATCGGAGGGACCCTACAATTTCTACTCCTATCTAGAAGCTTGACGTATCGCCTATCGTTCCGTATATGCTCACCATGCTAAGGACTCCGATGACAGCGACGCAGTTGCTCAGTCTCAGGCAGGATTCCTCTTCGAACTCCCTCTTGATCAGCTTCTGGGAGTAGAAGGGATCATACGAGCCGTAGATATCGGTAGAAGTAGACGAGTGCGTGGTCGAAGTGCGTCCACTTCCCCTGGATGAGCCCCTGGAGGAAGAGGGCGAACCCGAGCCTGATCGCACAGTCGACTTCTTAGTCGAGGGAGGGCTCGACTTATCCGATGAGCTCGATGATCCCAACGAGATGGAGGGCGTCTTAGAGACGGCGAATGATTTTTCGCTCACGCTGTTCATCTCTGCTGATGGGAGGCCTGACTGGACGATGCGGTGAACTGTGCGAGGGATAATCGATCGAGTGTCTGCTCGAAGAACTTTATAGAGTTCACTCAGAATTCTTAGTCCAGAGAGCTCGAGAGCAGTGAGTGCACGAACGAGTTCAATGAGGACAAAACAACTGCACGAATCAGCGTCACGTATCACGCAGCGAAGGGCTTCAATGAAGACTGGCGGAAAGGTAAACGAAAATCCGTTTTGTTCAACGGTACCCTCACCGTTGCTCCCTCGCTACGCAGACCCGGCGGCCTTGCGGGGCCGTCGACGGGTTTACATTTCGGATCTGCGAACGGGCGCCAATAGATGGCGCCTGCACCAAGTCCGCTGACGATAGGGATTCTCCTCCAGCTTCCGCTCCGAGTTCGGATCTCTGTCAGCTTGTCGGACCATCGGATCGAGTCTGCGCTTTGTCGGCATTCGCATAAAACAGAGTCCGGAGCCTTCGCTGGCTCTCGCTGATGGCCCCTCCGATCTATACCATATTCACGTCGAATCCCTTCCCCGGACATGGCGAATTTCTTTTGGAAAAATCGATCTGCTCGGGGCGAATCCAGTCCCGATAGTCGATTGAAGTTACCTAGTAATTTTCGGAGTCGATGAAATCGGTAGGGCAGAGCCGTATTTCTCGCCCCTTGTCACAGTCCGCTTGAAGTTCTTTCCCGTGTGAACCCCTGTGCGAACGCTCCGCGAAAGTCGTCACGCAAACCAGAAATTCTTGTTGTCAGTCGTTTCCTCGTCAACAAGAACCGAGAAATAATCTGGATGAATTTCATTCGATACAGTTCACGCCGAGGGTGGTGTTGTCAACTTCATGCGTGATCTCTCGCTCTCATTGTTGGCTATTGTTCTGGGCGGCTGAGGATTTTTCAGCAGAAGCTCCCGCTGCGGAGTCAGCTGGAATGAGAGTAGAACTGGTTAGCGGGAAATCATTCAAATTCGGCTTCGACTCGCGCGGCTCAATGCGAGCATCCTGCTAAATGGTGGAAATGAGTTCGATCGGGTAGAAACCGAAACGAAGACTACGAGAACCGGATCAGAAGTATCCGTATCGTCATCTCCCCATCGAAGGCTCCGTGGATCGGCGACGTATGTGAAGACGAAAGAGCAGAAACTGTGTTTGTAGTCTGGCATCGACAATCATCACCGGCTGCGCAGAATATTGCATGGCGAACGGGTCAGCAGGCGAGCAGACGAGGGATGCTTGCTTACGGTACTCGCTCTCTTCAAAGATGCGGGCGACCTTCGACCTCGCTTAACATCATTGGCAGGATGTCCGCAGTTCGAAGCGGCGCTTTCAATAATCACCACTGCATATCCCGCGTGCAGATTCGATCATAGTACTCTCCCCCCTAGAAATTCTGAATGAAATGACGTTTGACGTAACAGCTTGCTCCAGTACTTTTCCCGCGCGTAATTTCTAGAAACGGGGAGATTACCTCTACTCCGCTTCCGCGCAGAGCTTCGTCATGAATCAATTAGAGAAATATATTCACTAACTCACTCACTGAGCTTTGATATCTTGCCCCTGACTCTTCTCTCGCGATCGTCGGAGATCTTTCGCGTGGGATGTCGGATTCATTTTTGACAAGCGTCAAACACGTTCAGCTATCTTCGGTGTCATCACTGGATAATAATTGAATTGTGAAACAGCCCGAGAAGGCTGGGATCAACCTTGATGATATATTGGTTATCCCTTGGCGTCTTATGAGCTCAGACAGGTCGGGGTTCGTCTTATAGAGAAAATAGATCTTGAGCCTATCCAATGTCTCGGGATCCGTCGTTGGCATTGAGCATGGAAAATCGAACGACACTATTTCTGGAGTATTCAATCCTCGTCTCTCTCAAAACTTGAACTCCTGAACTTGTTTTGTCCTGATCAGACCATCTTGGAAGTCAGTCAAATATTATCGCCACAAACAATGACGTGACAGAAAGCAGCAAAAATGTCTTTCCTGGTCGTTACGTAAGGAAAACTTCGTTCCTGTCGAAGGTGATCTCCCCTTCTCTAGCCGTGGTCCAAACGTAGCACTCGTTGCCCGTCACGTTGGCTCCTGCTGTCGGTGTTAAGGGCACCGCAGTTCGAACAAAAATCAACGATCTGAACGACAAAGCCTATGGTTAGCCTTTCCCGTGTTTGCTGAGCATTTCGAAAGTTTCCCAGAAAACCCCGAGAAGCAAGAGAATCAAGACAAACGAGACTTCATTCCATGTGTCTCGCCGGAATATTCACTGGAGTTCTAGGCCGTACGTGTCGCTTGACTCCGTATTCCATCCCGAGGGAAACTCGTGTCTCGTCATCAATGGGTTCGCTACGAGAAGGACGCGAGCGACTAGAAGAGGCTTCCTGCGGTCGCTCCTACCCTATTTGGACTCGAAGGAGCAGGGGGCCAGATATTCATTCCAGGAGCTACCCACAGATTTGACATGGGCAGCCGATTCCGACGATGTGATAAGCCGTCGACAAGTGGTGACGAATTCATGTCCAACCGATCTCCCTGGGAGCTGAGACGGAACGCAAATGCCCTCTGATTCATAAGCTGTCGAAGACCGGAGCCGACGACGCGACGGGGGCAGACAGTTCGCCGGCTTCCCGGGGAGTTAAAACGAGGTGATTCGGCCTATCGGAGGACAAGTCGCTGTTACCTGAACGAGTCATGGAATCGGGATCTTTGATGTTCATTGATGTCATCAGGAGCAGGATTCAATGAGATTCAGGACGACGTGAAGGCAGAGGAGATTAGGTTCCGTCTTCGAGGCACGGTCTAGAACGATCCAACCCAGAGGGGACTATGCATAGGCTGCTCGCTCCGCACGTATGCGCATATTCTGGGGAGCCGCGGCAGATAATATCCACCGTCGGAAACAGGTGAAAAATACGATCCTCAATGAGCGTTTTTCCTCCTCGATATTTTAATTGACCTCGGACCTTCACCGATCTTCTGTGGGAGACGCTCCAGCCTCGGACTGCGCTACAAGGATGACCACCGGTCAGAACCCTTCCGAACACCAGAATCCGAGCCTTGACTTCGAAAGTTCGTCGATAGTTTCGTTCGGATCTAAAAATAGCGGCCGACTCATTGTGTACGATTACAATCAATCAAGTTCGTCAGTGCTTAGAAGATGATCCTGTCAAAATCCGGCCGCGGGGTTGCTTCAATAAATATAATTTTCCGGGGAAGGAAAGGAAGCACACGCAGTCCGATGGAACTTCACCATGTTCATCTGATACTCGGAAGATATTCGTTCCTCGTGAGGAGCGCTTGAACATTTCCTCGTCAGTGAACGTTCTCTTCTGACGCTGACTCGCGCATCCCGATGCTATCAAAGAGGGTTGGCTCTCTCCTGAGTTGACCGAGTCTCCGTCGGAAAGACGTCAGGGCCCGAGCAGCTCAGAACATCATCCGTGTCCGACTCTCGACAGAGCGCGAAAATTCTCTGAGGATGATCTCACGGAATGATAATACCTGGCGAGAGAGATCTATTCGCGTAGATGAGGGCGCGTGCGGAATCTTCGCTCGACAGGGACCGAACTTCCGCGCCTAGAGAAAGTTCTCATCGGATCATGAAGCTATTGGAATCATTCCGCCGGATCTGAACCCCAAGCTTATAATCCGACGCGCAGATTATTTCGACACGCGAAAGAGTTCGAGTTTTGCAATCATCAGTATTCTTTAATTTGGCGATTTTTCTGCCGTTTGAGGTGCGGATATCTGAAGAGTGATAATACTGAAGAAGCCCCATCGAATTCACATTCCAAGAAGCATCGGGGCAAAAGCTCAACATGAAATGTCGCAAACCGATACCGCGCCGTATACATCCTTGATGTGCCGTCTGCTCCGCTTCGCACCGAATCAGAGCACCTGTCCTGATGAGCGCCTGAACGGTTTCTATGCCATAAATTCCGAAGCCCCAGTAAAATTTTATCGGATTCACGATACCTTGCGATACTGGAAGTCGGAATGTATGACTTTCACTTAAGCGTTCCAGATTTCTGGATGGTGTCCGTCATTTGTTCCAAAGTTGCGTTTCGTAATGGTGGACAATGGTTCTGGACCCGAGGCCGATTGAGCGCTTGTCGCGGATACATTATTCGAGAAATGTGAAGACGTCAACATTACCGCTAGTATCGCCATGAGAAACTGGCTCTACCATCGCCTCGAAAAGAAATATACATCGCTCTCAAATGGAGACCCTCGTAGGGCGGCGATGTCATCGTTAGCTTGCATTCAGTCTGATCGTCGTCCGGTGATGATCCTTACCGACCGGTGATCCGCTCTCTTTATTGGGAATGAGAGCTCCAGAAAGCCGGCGCATTTGACACACAATTGATCGACCCATCGTCAGTACATGGGCTTTCCTATCGGAGTCGACCTTGCTCCTTGGAACATTTTTCGGCTTACGGTTCGCTTTATTTGAATCCTGACGAAGATAACCGAAACGATACAATGGCCTGCGCGCTTTTGAATATTTTTGGTCTTGAAAAGGTGCGCGTCATTCAAGTCGACCCATGGACGCCATATTCTCTAATCATGTGCGCGGGCGAGTCGGATGAAGCTTCACTTGACCGGGTGATCTCCGTTCGTGGGACAGATATCTGAAGAGTATCCTCGGGGGTCCTGGCCTAACGTGTCACTCCTGGTCTTGAGGATACAGAAGGCTTGAGATTTCGGAACTCGAAGATTTACCGTCTCGATGGGATGGTCTCTTCGTCGAAGGAAAGACGTTTCCCTTCGGAGTCGGTCCACGCTCCGCTCTAAATCCACAAGTAGCGAATAATTGAGTTTTTCCCGCCGATCGAGCGGAACCAGATTTTCTGTTCCAGCGACGGACCGCACCGAAATGACAGGCCGTCGAACCGAGCATTTCAGCCCCTATCGCTGGTAATGGCTGCAACCTTAAGCAGTTTGTTCGCTGTCTCCGTGAAAGTGAATGTTATGATGTGTCAGAATCCCGGAAGTTGTTTTTTTGTGGAACATTCACCGTCCTCGTAGCTCGAGTTTTCACGTTAACGGTCTATCGACTGGCGGAAGGTCTTCGCGGAATAGAAATTAGTTCGAACGGGTCGAGGTGAAAATTTCTCTTTTTCCCTTAGACAAATACGCCATTCTCAGCACCTACGTTTTCATCCATGATTTTCTGAGACCCACATTCCTTCTTATAAT